GGTGTGGCGACAACTCGGCTTCCTAGGGCTGTTGTAAAGCGACACGAGTGCCATTTGATAATGCCGATAGTAGGTTAAAATATATGTATATATATTTATTAGCACTGAGATGTTTGCAGGCATCGTGGAGGAATGCACACATGTACCCCGGTAGACATACGCTACAAGGTATATTGGGGTGGATGTATGAGGCTTGCATCGTTTTTGCACATCCTTTTCTGAGCTTAGATGTGCTATGCACATGCTTGCAGGTGTTCTTAGTTTTGAATTAGTGAATAGTTATATTACTAATGCTTAATCTGATATCTTTGGTATAAAGCAGAGTGTAAAAGGATTCCTACATCCCTTATGTGTTGTAGAACCATTTCTGCACTTTCTGTACTGATTGGATTTGCTGAAAAACAGTAAAATTCAGCTTTTATTTACTCAGCCTGTTCGCACAGTTTTTCATACATCTGTTCTAAATCTTTGTTATGAAGTAGGGGTTTTTTCATCTTTTGTTTATTGTTGACCTTCTTGTCTGTATTTAATTGAGTTAGTTATGTAGCAAAACTTTTTGTAGAATTTTTGTCTTTAAAAGGTCCACCAATTTCTTAGCAGTGTACAAAAAGTTTGGGGGAAAAAAATGATAATATACATATTTTACAGGGGGTTTTTTGACCATCACACTTGTACTTACTTTGCCTTACAATTTATGGTAATCCTACTAAATCTTTTAATAAATCTGTATTTTGAATCCTGCAGCTGTATGTAGAAGGATAGAGAGCTTACATACTGCTAAGTTATAGCATGCCAATATTTAAGCTGTGAAAGTGAAAAGTAAAAGATAGGTACCCTCCTTGCTGTTTTCAGTCCCAGGGTTGCCTCTGTCGCTGTACAGAACCCTATGGCAAGATCACATAGCCTCATCTTCAGTGCCTAACGTTTCTTTCAAAGCATTTCCTTCAAACAGCATTAGAACTAGCTTAGGAATGGACACTGTCACCATGTCATAGTTCTATCTGTTTGTTTTAAGTCAATCCTTTTAGTACCAAACAGCATTAGAACTAGCTTAGGAATGGACGCTGTCACCATGTCATAGTTCTATCTGTTTTAAGTCAATCCTTTTAGTATTGAGAATGTGTTAAGACGTGTGGAAATAGGAATGTGATTTTTTAAAAAAAAACTATTGTTTTAAGGCTTTTCATAGTTGTGATTTTAGTAAGCTAGTGTAGTTCCTTTAGTTATAGCTTATTTAAAAAGAAGCTGCTATCTAAAAAAAAAAATCCACAGAAATAAACAATGGTGTGATTTCTCTTGCTCAGTGTTTCAGCCATGTCTGACAAAAGTGAACTGAAGGCGGAGTTGGAACGCAAGAAGCAACGATTAGCTCAAATCAGAGAGGAGAAGAAAAGAAAGGAGGAAGAAAGGAAGAAAAAGGAAGTAAGAAATAATTTTCTCTGTGAAATTTGACTGTTTGGATATGTAGCCTGCCCAAAATTTAAGGGTAGGTTCACTTAGTCATTTTCTATGTGTTATTAAGGGAGTGTCTATTTAATGGTCAGTTGCTGGCGCATATGTAGCACTTTTCTGATAAGAACAAACATTACTACTACTGCTGTTATCTTTAGAGTTATCCATCTGGTAAATTAGACTTTAATTTATTTTTTTTTTAAATCCTACACTTGCATAAAGTTTGGATTTCAAAAACTACTTTTGTACGTGGGACATCAGTAATTAAATCACTGTGAGGTATTGCAGAAAAGCTCTGCTTAGTGAGTTATGATGAGTTACTTAGAGAACTCATTTCTGAAGTGCAGTTCAGAGGATGTCCATTTGAGTTGTCTGACTGTCATTATTATTGTACAAACAGTGTACTACATTTTTCTAGTCTTTGACTCATTTTTAGCCTGAATTTTAAAATCAGAGCAACACTCAGTATGTACGTGCTACTTGTGTGTTAGACTTGGTTTCTTAAGTCTTCTGGATTTCTTTCTACTAAAGTATGTGACAGTGATTTATTACTGGGTTTTTCCTGAATGCAGATTATACCTCATAAAGGAAACTTTTGCTGGAATGTTTTGATGTTTTGGGGTACTTTTCAAGACTTCTCTGTGTTTTGGTTATGATCTTGTATGTGTTCTAAATTAGCACCTGACTGAGGACTGGAGCGACATGATTCAGAAAAAGAGAAGGAAATATCTCAAATTATGTTCTGATGATCTTGTAACAATGTATTGCCTGTGTCTGAGATTCCACATGTAATGCAGTAGCTTGTCAGTTGAGAACTTGCTCTGAAATTTGGGAATTGCCCTACTGTGCAGTAGACTAGAAACATAGTGTGCAGTCACATGAGAGCAATTTTAGTTGTTAATCATGGCATAGGGATAGAATAGCTTGGTATAGATTTTGCTGCTTCTATTAAAGACTTTTATTTGCATCATCACTTTATACTTAGAAAATTATTCACTTGTCAGTGACTGAGTTGTGAACACCTTAAGCTATGAGTTATATTTCTGTAATTGAATGAGCAGTTAAATGAGTGTGGAAAGGTGCTCAACATCTTCCACAGTAGAGCTTGTGTTATTTCTAAATTATGGGGATAGGGGTGTGATTTTTTTGTTTTCTTTGTGTGAAATCTAGCAGATGATAACACAACTTAAACTAGTTAAATGCCCTGTAAGCTTGAAGTTACTGCGAAGCTTTTTTTAAGACTCTCTATTTTTTTTGTGAAACCTGAGGTCCAAAAGAAGGCTTTCTCACTGAACAGCTTTTTGATGGTTTTGTATTAAAAAATAACTTAAAATGCACACATAGACAATCATCACTTTTACATCTTACACGTATTTTCCTAATTGCTGCACACTTTAGCATGTGCTCTATCTAGTCAAGTGTCCTAATACTTTCTTGACCAAAGAGGGGTGTTTCTTATTGTCATTCTAACCTTATAGTGTTTTTCTTTGACACAGTTATTGTAATTTCAAAATTGGAACAATATGTGTCTTTAAAATGCTTTTATACACTGGTACAGAATACACTCTTTTTTTCAGTCTTTTCATTGCTTACAATGCACCAACGCTAAGCATTAGTGCAAAAAAGGTATTCTTGATATTATGAAGTGTCATTTTGACAAATGAGAAGGCACTTTTTGCATGTTACATGTCTTTTAAAGACAGTATCAAAGCAACAAAATTTTGTGATTCCTGGCTATTGTTTATCTATAGAAAAGACCAACAGAATTACTAGAGTCAATTCTCTAACTTCTATGATGGTAGGTTTCAGTAGCATAAAAGAATCTGATATCTCAAAAAATAAATGAAACAGTTTTTAATACCTGTTAAATGCTGTAACTTAATTATTGCATTACTCTTAGACTGATCAGAAGAAAGATGTTCTTCCTGTACAAGAAGAATCTGATCTTGAAAAGAAGAGAAGAGAAGCTGAAGCATTACTTCAGAGCATGGGGTTGACACCTGAGTCTCCTATTGGTAGGAATGTTATTATTATTTTGAAATAAATGTTTGGGAGTTTTTTTGTTTGTTTTCTTTTTTAAGGGGGAGTGGTTTGGGTTTTTTGGTGGTGTTTTTTCTGTTGGTGGTGGTCATGGGTTTTTGGGGGGGATTTTTTTTTAGGATTGTGGTATTTATATAACTAGCATGAAAATTCTCTGGTCACTGTTTTTGGGGGTATATGTGCCTGATTTTTGTACTGTTTCGTCCTGCATGATCTCTGCTATAAATGTCAAGTGATGTGCTTCAGTACACATTACTAGTACTATTTTGTAAAAGATATGCTTTACACTTAGTGAATTATTTGGAGTCTTTTGGTTAAAAGAGTTAAATATCATGTATTATTCTTTTTTTTTTTTTCCTATTTTCTCTGCACATTATTATTCTGTATTTTTTTTCCTTTTCCTTTTTCATAATGCGAAATTTTAATTCTGATATTTTTGTCCAGAGTTGGCTTGTTTCCTTTCTGCATCTTTTACACCCTAACTTTCCTTACTTCAAATACCTGACTGACTTTGGAGCAAGGCTAAGTATAAAATTTAACTGTCAAGGATGATGATTCATATCTGTGCCATTCTTGGATGGGTTAGCATATTAGTTGTTGCTTTTTGCCTTTGCATAGCCACATCTCTCTGGAAGTTGAAAGCAAAGAGGTTGACAATTGAACTCCAATTTTTGTCTCTAGTTCCAAAATCAGAGTTTAAAACTTATTTTTCAGTTTGGCTCAATAGTGAGGGAATAATTTGTTATGGATATAGTATCTCTGACTACATCTTCATTGGCTTTGCGTAGTCCTCAAGTGTTCAAAAGTTAACGTGGAATAAATGCCATTATTGCTGCTCACAGTCCAGTAGCCACAGCAGTCATTTTTAGTAGTGTGAGTTGCTCTCACAGTTTAGAAACTACATTTGGGCAATGTTAGCACTAGTGTACAGCATTTTAAATAATCATTTCTTGCCTACTAGGTAGTTGAACACTTTCTTGTGTGAGGTTTTGCTAAGGCAGCTGATGAGACTCTTGCAGAAATTCATGTGGTTGTTGTTGTTGGGTTTTTAAATCTCTGAGAGAGAACCTAAAAACCACAGGATAGTCAGTCCTCAAAGCAAATCATTGCGCAGACTTAGAGTAGCTGCTTGTGAAAAGCTCTTTGAGGTGCTGGTTTGTAAGACCAGGGCATGTCCCTGCAAGTATTGTGTTTAATTGCATTGAGTCTCTACTTAACCACACTCTTCAACATACATAGATTTGCGGGGAATTCATTCTGTTATATTTTGAGATACCCAGACCTGATCTGGATCCTAAATCAAGCTCAGATGTCCTGCTTGCTTCCTCGCAGTGCCATGCCTGAGGCACAGGCTAGGTCTGCTGACTGGATACTGGCCAACTATGACAGTACAGTGATTGTATGCCTGAACTGAAGCTAACTCGCAACTGACCAGCTTGGTGTGCAGATAGATGAGCTCGCTTTGTGGTGTAGGTGGATAGCTTGAGATTAGATTCCTTTACAGAAAATTGAATTAAGAATTCCTAAGGCAATTGCTATCCTGTTAACTTGCCAGAGAGAGGTAGCTCTTACAGGAAAGGGGACCTTAACAATGTAAGTATGCTTTTGATGTCTAACATACTCATTATATAAGAAACCATAAGTTGGTGAATCAAAATAACTTTCAGGAAGGTATTATAGTTTCATCCTTTGTTGGTCTCTTCATAAGACTGTTGGTCTTTAAATAGGTTTCACCTCACTGATGGGAAGGCTTTCTTGAAAATGGTTTGCCCCGCAGAGGGCACTGTACCATCAAAACTGAGCTACTGAGTGCCTCTGGCTGTGCTTACTGCTAGATAGAGCTGTCTGACTTTTGTAAATGGTGACAAGATATGTTTCTAATGTCATCTCTTCAATTAAGAAAGGGTGACATTGAAATGTCATGATTTCTGCTAGCACAAAAATAATGTGGGAATATAAAGGCTTATGGGCATTTCCTTTAGTATAAATTATTCGGTAGATGGCAATGATGACTTGAAGAATATATATACTCATATATACACTTACACACCTGTATTTATTTAGATATATGTATAAAGTGCAAGTGTGTCTATATATGAATTTATGAAGCACAACTCTAGACCTGTATAAAAGTATCTTCTGTAGCAGGAGTGAATTTTTAGTAAATTAAAGTATTCACTGTGAGTCTATAAATTTAGGGTAGAACTTATGTCAACTAGAGTCATGTCTCTGTTATGGGATGGGGTGGGAGCATTCTTCAGTACACACAATATATTGTGATTTCAGGAAATTTTCTAGAAATGTTGCAGATCTGAATTCAGAATTCTCCCTTACCTGACTCCTGACAGAGTGGGTACCAGTTTGTATGCTGAACTTGTGTTCAGTTGGTTAAAGGTGCTTTTCAAGGGTTGCTAAGGAGTTAATGTGTTCTATGAATGTTTTACATATTACTTAAAGAAGCATATAAGGATCTTCAACACACACCCTGATTCTGAAGCATTGTCCTGGTTTCACATAAACCTGGGTTTCATTAAATAACGAGTTTCACTATTTTTAAAAAGAAAAGTTGAAAGAAATATCAAAGTAGCTTTGTGTTTGTATCAGGTTGCATGATATCATTCACTATTATGTATCAGTTCCAAAAAACATGTTGCTTATTAAATAGTAATTGCAGTCTTCATCTACATGCTGAAAATGAACTGACTTTTAAGATAATATTTAAATATAACAGTACTAGACTGTCTGTCAAGTAAAAAGAAAGAATATGAAAATCCTCAAAAACCCAACACTGGAAACTTTGTTGTAATACACAGGATTTATGTTGATTTGATTCAAACTAGAACAAAAATAACATTTGCTGTATGACCAAGACTCTTTTTTGGTACATGCTTCAGTGATTATATATTTTGAAACAAAATTACCAGTTAAATACATTCAGTGTATAATTTTTAAGAAAAACTGATGTCAAAACTGTACTAACAACTGTCTTCCTTTTATGTTTAAGCAACATGATTTAGTGGAAATTACTGTGTGAAAATTGATGCCATCATTTGTCAGAAGTTCAGTTTAAAAATATATTTTCAATTCATTTTCTCTTAAATTTCTTTCCCTCCATGTCTTTTTGTATGCTTCAGATGCATAAATGCCAAATAATTGCATGGAAGTCCAGCATGAATTGTTAACATTGTCTTTTCCCCTCTCTTTCTACTGTTCATTTTCATCCATGTATTTTTTGTTTGCCATCACTTTTTTTTAATAATTCATGTTAAATTAATTTGAAAACATCCTAAGCTGTGCAACCTCTGCGAGTAGTAACAGCGGATACCTGTCTGTTTCACTATTTAGTCCCTCCTCCTACCTCTCCGTCTTCCAAATCTGTGAGTACGCCAAGTGAGGCTGGAAGCCAGGACTCTGGTGATGGCGCTGTTGGATCTAGGTACGTCACTTCCGTTGTCATATTCCTTTGTTTAATACTCAATTAAGCTTTAGAAGAAATCAAGGCTAATTATTTAATTATAATAGAATAATATGTGGTTACAGTGTTACTGAATCTGTGAACAGTGACTGTTTTACAGAAGTACTTTACTTTAAAATGTGAAATGCAACTATACCTCCCAATTTGAAATTGCCAACATTAACATGGAGTTGTTTGAACTTGCAAGTTTAAGGTAAAATGACTCTGAATGTCTTGTGGCAATGTTCTTGCAAGCATGAATATCTCGGGGACAGAAGAATACTGGAAAAGTCCAACTTCTGAGCTCTTCCCTGCTTTTTCTAAAGGAGGGTGTGTATGCATGATAGGCCATTTCCTTCCTCCCTCTACTCCAACTGTCTAATAAAAGATACTATCTACAAACTTTGTCTTGTTTCTGATGTTTTGGTTTTTTTTTTCCTTGTTCAGAACAGTATTTCTCATTATTTCACTTTGCAGCAATCCCTGCAACACAACTATACCACTCACAATCTCTCTCATTTGGCCAAAACAGAGCACCCTGTTAGTTAGTACAGCCATGGGGTTTTCTTCAGTTCCAGTACTTGCCACATTTATTTGACCGGATTTTTGTGTGTATTACAGTTTGAGAAATGCTGCTCTAAAGAGAAACAGATAAATATTTCTGTTAAACTAGGAATTCAAAGTGGCAATATATGGGTGATAAGGTGGGAAACTACTTCCAAAGGATATTTATACTGTTTCCCATGCAGTCTGAGAATAAGAGCAGTATTTACCTAATGTTGATAACTTATATTTTCTCAGCAAATTAAATTAATGTAGTTAATTTACTGTGTATGCATTGTGGATGAAGTTTGGTTAAAACACAGCTACTAAAGCAGTTACCATCAGTTACTTCTATGCTTATATGAGTAGTTGATTTGAAGAAAGACTGAATACCGATACCACTTTGAAACATCTTTTTAAAAGACTGCAGTAACATTTTGTATGTGTGTGGATTATGCATGCATAACTATATGCAATCTTAATCTGAAAATATTGAAGATTTTAATTACCTGAACAAAGGTGACAAAGTGTAAGTAGCAACCATTAAGTTAAAACAGAATACACTAGGCAGCAGATATGAACCCAAATTCTCTGTTGTTTTTTTTGAAGTGTCCAAGTGTGATCTTGCATAGCTTATTTGCTACACAGTTGTTGAAGTTGGCCTGTCATGTTAATAATGAATATAATTGTTCCTTCACTGAGTAACAAGCAAATTTATAATGATTTTAAATCTGTGATTTAAATTGTCATTTTATATTTAATTTCGCTATATTGAAGAAAAAAACTAGACTTATTTAATGATTTAAAAAAAAAAAAAACATTTCTGTTCATACATAATTTAAATTCAGTGTGAAGCTGTGTAGGCCACATATCTGTGACTGAAGGCCACATTGTTTACTGACTTTATCTCCACCTCATAGGTGTATTGTGCTCTCTGGTTGTGTGTTCCTCAGACATAGTATTAATTTAATGTTGTATGCATACATTTTCTTATGAAGCCTTGAGAAAACTTGTATCCTAAATGTCTATGGCTTTAGGCATTTGTAGACTTTCATACTAAATCTGTCTCTTGACAATTTCCCAGACATGGAAGCATAAAAAGATTGTGGTCTTGAAGGCATGGAGCTATGAATGTATAGCTAAACTGGAGGCTATATAGAGTCACTGTTGGAGTCCCCTTGCTTATTCTCTGACCACCTCCCACCAAACAGGTGTCTATATCCTAGTATGTTAGTACAAGTGTGTACAGCATTCCTCATGTACACATACACTTGAACCTGAAAGGTAATGGGAAGAGACAGACTCTGTGACATCCCCTAGCGTTATACCTGGCATTTCACAGGTGCCTTTCATAGCAATATGAGTCGTGTTAGAAAGCCCAAGTTGTTTAGCTATGCTTGATAATCTTAGAACAAACCCTTTTAGTTAGTGTATTATTTCAGTTCTTGATTTTTTTTTTTTTTGTCTGTGGCCTTTTGTTCTCTGGTCATGCTGCAACTATACAAAGATGATCTCTTTTGTTAGTGTAGCCTCCTCTGTGACGCTGAATCCTGAGAGTAACTTTTCTTACGTAGTAATTAGTAGAGCAATGTTTTGCTTTATTTTCATCAGTAGTTTTGGTTCCTAGTTTGATATTGTTCTTTCTCTTTTTTACTCAGCTAAGAGTATAAATTTAAGACTGGAAATTAATACAGTTGGTTTACTTTTAGGTTAGGTGGATGCTTCATAGAATTAGTTTAAGTGTAGAAAATACTTACTAGAGATACAGGAAGCACTAGGAATATGCCAGAATACAGAGACGTTTGGGCAAATGTAGAATAGGTACTTCTGTTCACTGAAGCTTGTAAATAAATCTGTTTAGCAAGCATCTGGAAAGCAAAAGGAACACTGTTTTACATAATTTTGGTGCATTTTGTCTCAGAATGTTACCTTTATTTTAAAAGAATATGTCTGAGAAAGATTTAATTATATATCCTATACTGCTTGTTGCCTTGAACTATTTCTAAAAGGCAGACTGGTACCACTGAAGCAACTGTTGAAAGTTAAAAGAATGCTTTGAAAGCAGGAAAGCAACTTCAGTAAGGGCTAGGTCTTAAGCAGGCAGAAAAAGTGGAGCCTTTTAAATTCGTAGCCCTTTCCCCATGTTCCTCTCAAGTGGGATTGAAAAAGTTGAGAGAATATTTTACAAGTATTGTGGTAATGCAGCATTTGGATCTATAGATAAGTTGTCCTTTGCAGAAGCCATGTGAAGGTTGGGGGGGGTGGTGGTGGTTTGGTTTTGCTTGCCTTTTTTTTTTTTTATTTCCTTGTGATGCATGATTGAACAACATATGAGCAATATCCAACCTGAAGTCTCAGGCACCAAATTAAACTCCAAGTTTAAATCTGTTTGGTCAAGAAAAACATCAGAGACCTAAAGAATAAGTATACTCAAAGTAATTAACTTCACGGTTCAATGATGTGTTTTCTGATGCACAAAAGATATGGAAAGGTTTTGGAGACTTAGATACTAAGCTATTGCTGTGAATTCAATAATAGTTATGTGGAATGATTTGCTAAATATGAAGACTAGATTTATAATTCTTAATTAATTATTCTTCTAATGCATATTTTCTACAAGAACAAGGTAGTGCATGGCACAACCATATATATGAGGTTTTTATGGCATTGGCTGTGCACTTTTGAGATCAACTTTACCTTCAGGAATTCTACACCTGGTTTATAAGAACTTTACTATGTATGGGATGGAAATGGAAAATTACTTTTTATTGATTTATCATAGTAAACTATTACATATTCTTTTTTATTTGTTATACAATATGGTTTTAAAATACTATCATAGCATCTAAGAACTTCAGAAAAACCATGCATGTTTATCTGTTAATCTGTTTTATAAGCTTGTTTTAAAATTCTGCCTAAGCCTGATAGCAGGCAGTAGACTAAATGCAAACTTGTGGAGAAAGGATGAAGAGTAAAAATAAAGGGAGAGGGAAGATTTATTTCCCCCTTCATATTTCTTCTGATGCAAAAGTGACTTGAAATGTTTCTATTCTGTTCATTATTCCACATGACTTTGAAATGTGTTATTAATATAAAGCCCACTGTTTCTAAGAGATTTAAGTATCTTAAATGGAGTTGGCTCTCAATCAGATGACACTTAAAAGCCCAAGGCAGTGCTTAACCCATAATTACTGCAATGTCACATCTTGGAAACTCTAGCAGTTCTCTGTCCCAGTGGAAATGCATTTTTGCCCCTCTACCAAAAGGCTTATGTGTTGACTCATTTCCTTTACCAATACGACACTTTCCTCGACATATTTACTGCTCTGGGCAAGATTGCATTATGTTGACAAATCTGTCTTTATATGACATGAACAAATCTGAACAGATTTTAAAAGGAATTTGAAGTTTTTAATGATTCTTGTCAGTATGCAAAAATATTTTAATTTGCCTCTCATACAGGCTGTGTTTGTTTGAAGATCTTTAACTTTCAATCTTGAAAATAATTTCTAATAGCTCTGAATTCTGTGTTTGCTTTTTAACTTTTGTATTTACTGCATGTGTTATTGCACTGAATGTTTGCTGAATTTCCCTTAACTGATATTATATTGCTTTGTTTCTTGTGAACAATGAAATAACTACAAGCTTACTGTAACTCTAGCATTTCATAGTGTGTATTTGCTTCACTAATCTCTGGCCTTTTTTGCTAATGCTGCATGATTGTTCAACCTGGGGTGGCAGGACGCTGCATTGGGATACTGATCCATCAGTTCTTCAGCTCCACTCTGATTCCGATCTGGGGTATTGCATAGATTTCTTATATTCCCTCTTTCATATGCTTATGGATAATACGTATAAGAGCTTATTTTTTCTTTAAGACTTCAAGTTGTTGTTAAGGGACTGTTCTGTAAGTAACAGATATTCACTATCCCTAGACTTTGCTTGTAATGGGAATTTTTTATATTGTTTTATATACATAAGATGCTTATTTCTAATAACAAAACTTACATACTCATGTTTTTCTTTGAGTCTTTCTTTGGCAAAATGGAAACTTTAAAAAAATCATTTCTTTAAAATAAAAAGCTTAGAATAACTGTATTTAAAAACAATGACTCCCATCTTATAAATAAGTTTGTAAAAGCTGTAGCTCATTATAAGCACTTACTAAAACCCACATTGTGCTGAAAGAATTATGATTCTGCCCACCAAAACCTTTCAAAAGGAGTTGTTCTCTTTTGCTTTTATCTTAGGAGAGGGGTGGATAATAAGAAACTGAATTTGATTTAGATAAATCGATGTTGTCTTATTGCAATATTACTATAATACATACTGAAATTAGCTTTTATAGGAATTTGCAATGACTGAATTAATATTGTGTGGTTTTTGAAAGTGTATTATGCATTGTAGTTTGATACTGACTATATCTGCATTTAGGGGATCTTCCGTAAGCTAAAGACAGAAATGTCAGAGGTTTTCAGTGTCATATTCTGGAGTAAAATATTATGGATAAATCACTTGTTGGTGTGTCAGTTTTAGATTAGACTTGCAGTTCTGCATTCTAAATAGTGTCTTGGAGGTAGACAAAAAAAAAGGGTAGCAAAGTTAAAAAGACTAGCAATTGCTTTTTTTAAGCTTTAAAGTTTTAGAACCATTGCTGAAGAAACATGACTCGTGAGCAGATCTGTTCCACTGAAAGTAGGATTATGTCATATATGTAGCACTACCCTTGTCAACCACAAAGAGCAAACCTTTAAAATTGTATCCTATAAGCCATATATATATATTTGTGTATTTGCACATCTTTCTGTCGCAGATGTATAAATAGCTGCTGATCTTAAATAATAATGACAATAAAATATTCTGCTGATCTTAAATAATAATGATTAAAAAAAAGTCATAATCACATGACTCCTTCAGAATTAAGTTTCCACTGGGTTTAAGTTTGACTAAGCAGTGCTGTGAGATGATGACTTGGGTATTATTCTAGGCAAAATATGAAGTAATTCATAAAGTTGCTTGGGGTTTTTTTTTCTGATTTCTCTATTAATTTTATTTAGACGTGGACCTGTTAAACTTGGAATGGCCAAAATTACACAAGTTGACTTTCCACCTCGAGAGATTGTTACATATACAAAGGAGACGCAAACACCTGTTATGACTCAGCCAAAGGAAGGTGAATGGTTAACTTGTTACTACCTAAGTTATTTTTCTTTTATTTTATTATAATAACTGTGACTGACTGAATTAGAACTGCCACTTGTGATCTTGAAACTTAATAAAGTAGAATGAAGGTTGATCTGTGAGATAATTGATATAAATTCTATTATTAAATTCATACGGGTTATGAACCTTCATATATGAGGTTCACTGTCATGTATATAAGAGGGTTGCTGTCATTCTGCATCTTGTTTACATTACTCTTATTACTGATACATGGTATTTTCTCACTCCTAGTAAATGTTCAGATTAGACACAGACTTGCTTAATCAGCTGACAACTGATAAATAAAAGTTGCATTTTTAACATTTAAGAATCCACACACAACTTGAAGGTTATGTATCCTTACAACAAATTTAGCAATAAACCCCCTAGCTTTTTAAGAATTTGCATTTTTATACCTGGAGCTTATACATTGAGTTTTAAAAGAAGGAACTAATTTCATTGTTAACCCATGCAGTTTCTGTTCTCAGGAATTGAACCCATGCTTTCTTTCAGTCATGACTGGTTTGCTTTTGAGAAAATAAATTTTTCTGAAGAAAACATAATTGGCTAATAAATTTTCTTTTCAATGTTGAAACACTTGAATTTAGCTGCAAATGAAAATACTAATCTTGACCTAGTTTGTATGTAGTTCCACAAAAAAATCTCTTGGTTGTTAAATGTGACTGAGTATGTGTCTTTGCTAGCAATTTTAGGACCTAATTCTATATTCATAATTTTGCCTTTTCCTGCTCTTTGGAATGTGAACTTTTGGGTGTTTATGAAAGGAGATAAAAACTTTTTAAAAATTAAGAGAGTACACAACTGAAGTGTTATGCTGATGTTTCAAGAAACTGTATAATTTGCCTGAAAGTGTAATACAGAATACATAGAGTGTAAAGTGTGATACAAGTGATGCAGAATAGTTGTTGCTCCAGTCTGTGTCAGTATGCTGCTCTTGTCTGGAGTGTGTCTTAAAGTCACTTTGGCAAGTTAGATGCAAATAACAGACTAACAGAGGATTTGCTTTTTCTCTATCTGCTTTTCTTTTCAGATCTTGATTTTTGTCTGTATTCCTGCACAGACAGGCTTTTAGGGTTTTCTTGCTTTCATTTCTCCCGTGCCCTTACCTTTTCCTTTCTCGAGTCCCTCAGGTTTTTTCCCTCCACTCTGTCAGGTTCATAGAATCTGAAGACTTAGTTTGCAGTTTGTGTGCTTGAAGAGTTTTTGCTTCTGCTGCCTGCTGTCAGTGGAAATTGCCTGGGATTTTATGATCTTAGTTTCACACTCGGTGGATAGGCTGTAGTTGATTTACTGTAGTGGAGCTGTAGAGATGGGTCATCTGTATTTCTGCATTTACCAGAAGGCTCTCACAATACAGATGTTGTCTCCTGATCCTTTCCACCTTAAAAATAATACTGTTTTCTTGAGGGCTGTCACAATTATTTTATGTATATATACTTCACAAAGTCACTTACAGATGCTTTTGATCATTTCAGTGTTGAGGATCTTTTTAAAGTCTGTCTTAACACTGCTAAATACATTAATAATTAAGCTCTATGTTCATGATTTCTGATAACATCTGAAATGGGAAATGTGGGGGAAATCATACTGCCTCAAAAAAAGAGAGTCACTAGGTGAGAGGTTTTGATTATGGGAAGAAGATTTTGAAGTCTTTAAAGCAACTGACAAAAGCAGTATGCTGAATTTTCAGAGTGCAAGTAGATACATTTATCTAATTTTAATCTATCACATTGATTCTTGTTTTTTTCTCACAAGCTGTTATTTTTATTTATTTTAGTGAGTATACTGTAAACTAAAGAATCTTACAAAGTAGCCTTGAAAGCTGAGCTTGCAGCTGAATTTACACATACAAGTAATCTTCAGTAGCTCCCTTGTACAGCAACAAGTTGCATCTCAGCTAAGTTAGCTCCAGTGTACTTATAAAATCAAGTCGACTGGACCTTTCTTAATTATCATATACTGTGATTTTAAAATGCTGTTGGGGATGTGCTTTTGAACAAAGGAAAATAGAAGCAAGTTTATTAGATACGCTGTGCCATCATGCTGCAGCTTTAGGGCCACTTGTGCTGTAGGTTGAATTGTGCTAACACTGATTTTTGGGCTGAGGGGAAGGAGAAACCAACAACAGACAAACCCTAAAAAACCAGTTCCACTTCTGTGTGCCACAATGGTTATATAGTTGTAATGTGATGTGAATTTGGAAACACTCAAGCTACAACTAATCTGTCTGGTGGGACAGGTAGGAAGTAGGGGAAAACTGTTGTTAAAAAAAAAACCAGTTCCTAATTGTCATGGAAGTATTTATGGCAACACAAACAAAATGGCAGTTACATGGGGGAGATTTCATGTCCTCAACTTAAAGTTGGCCTTCGGAGATGCCTGTCTTGGATTCAGTGTAACAAACAGTTAAACTTAAATAATTGGTACCTTTCACCTGAACAGTTCTGGTTTTAAAACGTAAAGGTTGCTCATCTCAGAAGATGATAGAAAAGACTGCATTCAGTAGGTGAGAAATCCAGACCAGGATAATTCCATAGCTAGAGAAGGGAGGGAGACTAAGTTCATATGTTTGTGCTTCTGTGTAATGCAAACATGTTGCGCCATCCTAGACAACATTCAGATATGAAGAAGCCCACACCCCACTGCCTTGCAGATATGAGGCTTCTTGGCTGCACCTGTTTTGAGCCAGTGATCCTCTCCATTTGTAACGAAAGAAGAATCAGTTTGCATCTAGCCCTAGATGCTAGAGCTAGAATGAGACCTCAGTGCTAGTGGCACTATAGCCTCTTTGTGCTAGGACAAAAAGTGTCACTGCTGGAATTCTGACTTTCCCACATTTCTTCACCCCCACCCCTTTCAAGTATTGTATCCAAAACAGTAGATAGCCTTGTCTTTCCCTTATACACTGCCCAGCTCTTAATTTTGAAATGTGACAACTTCCCTAGGAGATGGAGGCATTTAGTGTGCTGACAGTTCTCATTACTTCCATTATTTTATTGCAGTACTAATATGTTGATTTATTATGACCTCAAAGTATTTGAGAAACTGCCTGTCTTAGGAAGACTGATTCTTTTTATGATATTGTAAAACAGTAAAATCAAGGTCTCACCTTGAAATCGGCTTCACTCTGTGATTAGAGAGTGAGCTTCGCTAGAGCACAAAGTATTTTGCCACAGGAGGTAATTCACTCTATACTGAACAGTATGGAATATTAAATTTCCCATTAATTAAACTTAATAAACTTGTTTCACAGTTCTTATAGGAAGATGTCCACATCCAAAATAAACTTAAAAAGTAAATCTGCAATAGTGGTTTTATGGGCTTTTCATATGGTGGGTGCAACCCACAGCTGCTCTTTCCTCAAGGTCCTGTGTGTACAAGTGACTAAGAATATAGAAAAGACAAACAGAGTAATAAATTTTGTCGAGTTGGCCATCTTGGTGCTCTCAAACTTCTTGCTTTGATGAAAATACTTTTACATGTCTATCTTCAGTACTTTTTTTTTTTCCCCCGCTTTTTTGGGTTTTTTTTCTCCAGAATTTTCAATAGCCTTAGTCTTTTAACCTTACTGTTCCTGTAGCAGCTCTGTTTATTATGTAAAAGAAATGAAGTTAAATAATTAAATGGTTCATTGTTCTGAGAAATATAGCAGAGACAATACACCTTTTTCTTTTTTTCTTTTTTTCTTCTCTTAGCACGTTCTTTTCCCGTTTTTGTTTTTATTCATTCTGTGATACAGTAATGGTGGCCATCTTTTTTGCTTAGGGATCAAATAAATTTATTTTGGCTTGAGAAGTGTTGTGCCATACTCAGTGCTGTTAACCCTTATTTCGTAACTAATAAGCCTAAGCATCTACGTCTCTGACATTACTACACTGTAACAACTTTTGTCACCATCATAACGTGAACATCCTGTGTTTAGGCTGCTCCATTCCCCAGCATCCTTGTTCTGCCATCCCCTTTTCTGCTCTATAAATCCCTTTCTCACTTCCCATGATGCTGTGTGTAACACTGCTGCCTGCTTCCCTCATTGTCCAATTTTGGTGAACACGATTTTTAGTTAGTGTGGTCAACTGGTTATTAGGGCTATTATTTAGCCTCTATTTGACATAGAATCATAGCATGCTCTGTCAGGCAGCAGGTTTTCGTATCTGCTCTCTGAAAATACATTTGAAATTGTATTCCTTTTACACACTCATTTCTTTCCAGCAGGCAGCAGAAGCAGTTTCAGCAACAGAGATGCAATTCTCGTGTGAACTCTGGTATATGTCTTAATGTTCTGCATGCTCCATGTTGGCCACCACACAGAGTACTGTAATCACTGGTGCTAATTTTTTTTTTTCTTATCTGTATTTCTTGCTACACTGCTCTACTATACTGTTTGAGCTCTTCCTTTGTGATTTGCTAACGTATTGTTCAAATTCACAGGGAAATAAATTAGTCACCAGTGTGCCCAATAAGTATGTGTTATGAGTCCTTGAAGTAGTTAATCCGAAGAAAGATAGGCACGTAGGGGAATATGATTCTGCTCATCTGTCACAGGCTTTTCCTGGGTTAATGAGATACTTTTTGTTTAGTGCTGCTGCACAGTAGTGTGCATGTGCAATCACAAATAACTGCAGGCGGTATTCCTCCACTCTTTGAGGAATTACTGTCTGGTAAAGTCTCCAAGACACAGAGTGAAAATATTAAGCATTTTTGTCCTTTTAATTTTGACTTAAGCAGAGTAATAACAATTTGGTGTATAGGGCTAGCTTTCCAGATGTTGTTACAGTGAATGTAGCATTTTTACATTTTAATATTTTAGAAGGAATTAAGAGACCCTTATATATTCTTTAAGTGCCTCAAATGTTCAGTGAAATATAGATGGGAAAACTTTATATGAAGACATTCGGTTTAACAAAAGCCACCCATTTCACAGATGATTTAACTTTGATTAACCTACTCTGCAGCAACAGATTACTCAGACAACTGGAACTTCACTCTGTAGTGTTATTGCTAGGTGCAGCCTAATTTACAGTGCTGCTTTTCTTTCTGTCTTGCCAAAATACATCACAATTTTGATGTTAACTCAAAGTAAAAATTCAGTGGTTCATTAAACCTGTTTTTAGCACTCATTGACAGGAAATCTGTCATTATTAAAGTAGCAGCTATTTTTATGCAACCTTTACTGCTCAGTTTTGTAAGCTTAGATTCCCTGTTCACCTGTCAGAAATAACATGGAGTTAATTCTTTAGCATATTATAATGAATATTCATCAATATGTTGATGTGACAGAGTTCCATTTCCTGTCTTCATGGCCCTTCGACTTTTCTAAGTCGTAGCAGCCTTTTCTTAAAATGTGAAATTGTATTTGGTGTATTGACAATTGAAGTGGCATAAAATGCCAGTAGGTAGAGTCAATAATGAATAAGGAGGATGAGGTAAGACAGTGCCTTTTAAGGTTTCCAAATTTATGTAGCTGGTGTGAAATAAATGCAGTACACCACTATATCATGGGTTCTTGACTTACCAGACGTGGAAATTTTTCAGCAATAGTATGCCCACTCTTTCAGTGTTTGAGTGATATATCATTGTCACGCCAGTTCCTTGCAAATACCAGCACTTGGCCTGTTACTAAATAAATTCAAGATAAAGGAGAGACAGGATAAGTAATTAAAACAAAAATTTCTTGGATCTTTTGTTGTCCAAAAGCTTCCTGCTGTTCTTTTTGATTGTAAACTTCTGTGAGAAAGCATCCTATTTTTTGATAATAAGATCAAGAACTTGTATATGTGGAGTGGGTTTTTTTATTTTTCCCTTTTTTTTTTTTCTTTTTCAGATCCCTTAATGAGAAAGTTTGCATATGACTTTTCTTTCTTTAGAGAGAAGGTTTTTGGTTCATGTAGTTACAGATAAATCACAGTGAGATGACATGTTCAATTTCAAGTCTGAGACTTTGAGAATATTAAAATAAGTGCTATATCCTGCATTTAAATGCAGTAATATCAGCTGGCTGTATGCAGTGAAAATACTATGAAGGAATTTAGATCTCTGTATAATATATGCCATTTATGTTTCAAACATTAAAAGCCAGGAGCAATCAACTATATGATCTTTTGAATAAAATATGTAGATTAGAAGGTCACTTAGCACTGAGGGGTTGACCATCTGCATTTGACAGGAATTTGACTCCTGTCACTGAAAATGGTACTTAGAATCAGTGTAGTATGACTAATGGGGGGTTGGGCTGAAATTTCTAATTTGGGACTTTCAAAGCTAGAATAATGTATCCAGGGTGACCCAAAACCAAATTTCAGAATTTGAAGGCATCATTTAAATCTGCAAGAGAGATTGGCAGGGTGAACAAGAGGGGGATTTTTATCCAAGTGACTATAATGTCAGTATGTGGTCCTGTATTTGTTGTGCTCAAAATCATGTGTGTTAACTCCTATTACATTTTTTTAATTAATCAGTGTTCACACCTATAGTGATTTGACATTAAGAATTCCATTCTTCAGAACTGCCCCAAGTTATACAGTTTTCAGATTACTAGTCCACTGTACATGTGAATCCGTCTAAAAAGGAGCAGTGTCTTTCTGTTTCTCTGTGTGATTATTTTGCAAAAAAAAAGCTTTCATTTTTTTTAAGTAGCACAAAAGCTGTAATTGGCATGCTTTGTAAGGAAGTGTCAATGTGCAAGAGAGTGGAGATCACTAAGAATTCTTTTACGCGTTCTTTCCCCTTTGCACCACCGCCTCCTCAGCAGGGTCACTGAGATCACTAGCTTTTCTTGAAATGGCCATTTTCACTGGCAGGTGCATTATACCCTGTATTTTCAGATTGTTTTTCCATTCTGAATGTTTGGCAGGTTGATTGCTCTGGCTGCATTGACGGAGAAAGGGCTGACAAATGCGGTTGGGCTGGCTGAAAAGACAGTGATTACTGTTTTCCTTTGTGGCTGATTGAGGCCCTTGAAAGGAAAGATTTTAACCTTCACCATTTGGTTCAAAAATATGAGCATATATTGAAATCATTCATGCCATTTATCCTAGTTCTGTAAACTTGTCAGAACGTAAAAATCGCTCAATTTCAAGTAATGCAGGATTGGCATACGTCATTATCATTTTGATTAAGTTGGAGTTTGTATTATTGTGTGCATTATACAGTGTCATTTAAAGCTTTCTTTCCTGCAGGTACAGTTATATTTTTATTGCCTATACTATGGAGTTAGAAAGATTTTCAGACCTCTTTAAACCTATCACTATGTGTGTGGTTTGGCAGCTGGTATGGCCTATGAGCTGTATTTTGTTTGCAGGGTAAAGGCTTGTCTGTAGACCTCCTGGAGTGCTGGTAATTGCACGGGCTTGCCATTGGGAAAAGACATGATTGGAAGCAGTCAGGCAGAAAAATGTTGTGCCATCCCATTGCCACCTCATAGCAGAGAGACAATCCTAGCAGTACCATCTGGTTGTTGCTATCTAGTCAGCTGGCTTGGCTGCTGGGACTATGGCTTGGCAGCTGGTTCCCATCCCTTGACCACCCTTTTTTTTTTATGTGCGTGCATGCATGTGGAATTTCCCTTTTTTACTTTTTTTTTTGTTAGGTAACTTTGAACGTGGGTCAGGGAGATGGCTGCAACAAACAAGCCTAGTCCCTCTTGAATACTGTCTCATTACTTGTGATGAGGCATGCAGCAGACTCCTGCTGCCATTCCCTTATAAACAGATGACATAGTTGTTTAACCAATAAAAATAGTCTTTTCAGAAGCTTATTCTAGAAAGCAGATGAAGAAAAGCCAGGAAATGCATATTCCACAACACTAAGTAATTGAAAGTTATTTTCTGGTTTACAGTATTCAAAGAATAAAATGTAGAAATGCAGAAAGTGCTGTAAAACCTTGTCAGTATTCCCAAACATTAACATTTTATGTTATTCATTGCAATTAAGGAAAACACATTTTGCTGGAAAGTTCTCATTGCCAAACATGATACAGATAATGAGACTTGCATTTAGAATGACAGAAAAAATATAATCTCCCTGCTATTATCTTTAGCAAAATTTGCCTCTCAGAATAGCAACCTGAAAGCTAATGTAAGCCATCTTCATGCCATGTGAAGACCCATTAGACTCTGATGGTTTCAGATCACAAGTAGGCAGCTGCTCTGTAGACTATTTTAGACATTTGATTTTTCTTTATTCTGCAGCATTAATGTGTCAGTATGTTACAGAGAACATGCATCCACCACATGGTTTTGTGTGGAATTATAAATGCTTGTAAGAGAGATTTCCACTTTGGATTCTTGACAATTTCTTATGTGTCTTATTTCAGTTTATACAACAATTTAGTGCAACTAAAATCCAGGTGTAGACAGTGTTCAGTGATCTGTTGGTTTGAGATGTTATCCTGGGTACTACATTTTACAAATATAACCATTTTAAGCTAAATGATACCATTTTACATCAGCTTGTTTGAGATTCATATGGAATATTACTGTTCCTCTTTAAAAACATTGACAGTCTCACCATCATGTTTCTCCTTAGATGAGGAAGACGAAGATGATGTGGTTGCACCAAAACCATTAGTTGAACCTGAGGAAGAAAAAACACTAAAAAAAGAAGAGGAGGAAGAAGGTACAGTTTACCTCAAGACATTGAGTTTGCTGTAAAGAAAGGCATCAATAAGTTTTTAACGTCTTTTCTTTCTATTAAGTTGAAATTAATTTGGTTTCCATTTTAACAGTCAGCTAGCAAAATATAAAATGTAAAAATGTATTCAAAATCGTTGTATGTTAGGAAACAAATTTTCCAACATAATGATAAATACTCTGTTTTCTGTCTTGGAAAGAATTGATTAAAATATGCAGTCCAGAGAGTTTATGTATGTATAATTCTTTTCCAGCTGCCCCTCATGAACTTACAGAAGAGGAAAAACAACAGATTTTGCATTCTGAAGAATTTTTAAGTTTCTTTGACCACTCCACAAGGATTGTCGAAAGAGCTCTTTCTGAGCAAATCAACATTTTCTTTGACTACAGTGGAAGAGACTTGGAAGACAAAGAAGGGTAACGTGAATGTTGAATACTTTACTGTGGATGTGCAATATTTGTAATTGAAAAAGTGATCCAAGATTAATATCTGCTAATTGCCTTTATAGAGAGATTCAAGCAGGAGCAAAACTGTCCTTAAACAGGCAGTTTTTTGATGAACGTTGGTCAAAGCATCGTGTTGTCAGTTGTTTGGACTGGTCATCTCAGGTAAAAAATAATGCTTACATTAAGCAGTTATCTTTGTGGCTTTTGGTTTTTGGTGGGGTTTTTTTAACCTTATTTTGGTGAAAAAATACAAAGATTCTCGGATTGTCTGGACCATTAGCTTACTTTTGAGTCTTTTTCACTTATTTTACAGTACCCAGAATTACTTGTAGCCTCTTACAACAACAATGAGGATGCACCTCACGAGCCTGATGGGGTGGCCCTCGTATGGAATATGAAGTACAAGAAAACTACCCCAGAGTATGTCTTTCACTGCCAGGTATGATTCTGTCTTGGAAGGCTAAAGATTATATGTCGATGAACTTGGACAACTACCTTTCTTATGCTTGTCAACATAACAATTTCATTGGGTTGGTGTTCACTTTAACCATATGTATTTGCTAGATGTTGATAGCTAGAGATTTCAGTTTAGAAATATTATTCTGTTTCAGAATTTCTGACATAATTCAGAATTCAGTTCTGTTTGTGAACTCATTTTCTTATTTTAATTTAAAAACCAAAAAAATCTTCATGTGTAATGGTTGAACCACAAAGAAGGTTTGTATATAAGGGGATTGAGTGCGATTGTATACTATTAGAGCTTAGTTTACTGAGTAAAATTAAGATGGCCTGAGGAAATGGAGCAAGGATGAAAACTAGAAACATATGTGTCAAGACAAAGGCAGATGGAGGTTTTCTGATAGTTTTCTGAAAGATAAAGACATGCAAGTCTCTTCCATTATGCCAAGCCTGGGATAGCCACTTTACTTTCAAAATGCCGTAATTCTGAAAAATTCAGTAGTTGAATCAAAATTTAATACTCTGTTGTCAGATTACTGTCAAAACCCAGACTGCAAGAGTAACTTTATTTTATCGAAATGGATTTGTACATTCTCTAAGAAAATGACCACAGAATGTGGCAAAACATGATTTAAAAATTGTGCATTACTGAGCCTTCCTTTGCCAAAAAATTATGCTAGGAGGAATTCAAATGTATACATATGAAAGAAAGGAGGTAAATTTCATCTTATGAATACAAATTAAAACTAAAAGGCTGTTGGGGGTTCACAAAGGGTTTGTGAATCCTTAAGTAATTGGACAGTGAAATGGTGTATTGAATAAATCTAGGCACAGAACTTACTCTGATACTTAGTCTCATTTTCTTTAGTTTTAGACATGGCATCATTGAATGGTTGTTTTTTGAGTATTTTGTTGTTTGGTTTTTTCCTTGCAGTCAGCAGTGATGTCAGCTACATTTGCAAAATTTCATCCCAATCTGGTGGTTGGTGGCACGTACTCAGGCCAAATAGTGCTGTGGGATAATCGCAGCAATAAGAGAACCCCAGTGCAGAGAACTCCACTTTCAGCTGCTGCTCACACGGTAGGGAGTGAAATATCTTCAAGGACTGTTCCCTGTTGAGATGTATTTAACCTGTAGGAATCTCTGTCCAGTGCACTTGATTGATAATGCTTAAATGTTTATGTCCATATTTTGCCAATGCTGTCACTGAAGAACCAGGCTATTCATAAAAAACAAAGTGTCAGAAAAACAAGTATCAGTTTTGTAGAGGAGTCTTTGTACTGTACTGTGATCCATCTTTTATGCTTTGTTAAATGGTGAAGTTGTATGTTTTACTGAATATTAATTATACCAGAATTGGCTGTTACTTGGAAATTCCCTTTTCTGATAGTATTTTACATTTCTTAGCACCCAGTATACTGTGTCAATGTTGTTGGGACTCAGAATGCTCATAATTTGATTAGTATCTCAACTGATGGGAAAATATGCTCTTGGAGTCTGGACATGCTTTCCCAACCACAGGTAAGATGACTTTGGATATCTACAGTATCTATTCCAGATTAGTACATTGTAAAAACATCATGAATCTAAAAAGCTTTAATAAACCTTTTCCCAACGCAGAATTATACTTAAGGTAGCTTGGCAAGTATTTGATAAAATATTTTTCCACTCTCATGGAATCAAATACTGTCTGTTGATCCTCTTTCTATATTTTTGTTGCACTTGTGTTAGTGGTGAACATGATTTTAACAAGAAATAACTTTCTTATTCCTGCCTAATTTAGTACAAATAACATGGAAAAAAAAATTGAAATACTAACATCTAAAAAGTCATTTAGATTTTCAGTAGTAGGTTTGGGTGGGGGTGGGTTTTGGGG